ACTTGCTTCACCTTTGCAATAGCTACTGCCTCTTTGCAAGGTGAGAGACAGTGGTAAAGGATTGCTTTGTGTCTGTACAACTGGCTGTGACTTTTCTCCTGTTCTTCAGGTCAGTCCCCAGTACCATCAAGGGGTGACTGTATGAGACAGAAGCTAGCTGGGTGTCCAGTACAGTAACTGCAGTGATATTGTCATTTATGTGGTACATACAACCTTAGCTCTCTTTTGGAGTACAGCTCACGAAACACAGTGAAAGGGTAATGAATAACCTCCATGCTGTTCTTCTGTGAGTAGCCACAATCTGCTGCCAGACCCAACTCCTCACTTGGACTTTATGATGTGTTTAAATATAAAAAAGTAAACTACTTCTGGGGGCTCACTACTGGTATCTGTCCACCAAATCACTTGTTTAGGAACAGCTCTTCTCAGCACTGAAGGTAGGTCTGAAGCCAGCAGTGTCTAGGGCTGCTTGTGCTGGATAAGTGATGACAGCCTAGGTAAAAATGCCAGTGACTCTTCCTGCCTTTCTCTGACATAGTTAGCTAGTACAGCGTGGAGTAGCTTCAACATAAAGACAAATGACGCATCATAATATGAGCAAATGAGAGCCTGGTGACTGAGACACTATCCGGGAATATTGTCTTCAAATATTTGCTGAAGGCCATACTGAAATTCAAGCCATTATCTCCCAAAGCTCAATAGTGTGTCTGCCATCAGTCTACTTATTCACGCTTCAGCACATTATAGTGTCTGTCTTACTGTCCCCCCCCAGTGCTTCTCCATTACGTTTTATAGCACCAGACAGAAAGACTCAGACTGACTGACTCCATAGAGCAACGGTCCCACCACTTAGTATTGCTTCAGCTTGCAGTGAAACTCTGTGGTTCAGGATGAGCATATAAAATATGTGGCATAGCAAATGACTCCAGAAAAAATATAAAGAAAACCTCATTAAACTGAGAAAAGGTGCTAAATTAGATTTCTTGTGCCAAAAGGGGAAGGCAAAGGTAGAATAAACCTCACTCCTGCACACTCCTGAAATCAAGGGAATGGTGCTAGCCACTTATTCACAAAAGTTAGATAGTCCCTTCCTCAGCCTCACTGTGAAGTTAATGCAAAAAGAGGAGCCTCAGTAACCTGGACGGACTTCTTTAGCTGTAAAAATCCCTAACTTTCCTCCTCCTTCATACGCATGGTTTTTCTCTAGTTTTTCCGTCAGTCATCCACTTTGGCAAAAAACTTTTTGAACAGAAATTCTGGAAGGATGGGAATGTAGATGCAATATTCTCTCTCTCAAAAAGAAAAGTTTAACACTTACGTGTTACTATGACGTGGCTGGCAAAGGTTGGTGGACTGATGCAGGAGACATCTTGGCACAGAATAAGCAGCACCCATTTAAATATCTAGCCTGAACCCTTCAACTCTGCAGAAAAACCCCAATAGATCTTTGCTGTACATTTTTGGACACACATTCAACAGTATCTTTTATACAAGGATACAGAAATAATTGGAATGACTGAGGAAAGAACATCTCAGCAAACAATGCTCCTAATCAGCCAACACATTCTGCAAATATGACTCATTATCACAGGCGAATCTAATTTATGTCATGCTATGGGTGACTTGATCGCCTGTAATCTGGGCAAAGAAAAATTAAATACGATTGTTTAAATGCAGCTTCAGGGAGTGCTACATATTTTATCTCAGTTTCATCTGGTTTCCCATGATATCAAAGCTGTGTTTAGTGGATAGAGATTTACAACCAGAAAATGATATGTATAGCTAAAGAATGTGAAGGGATGATGTCTTGTAGAATTAGTTATCATTGTTAGGGAAGTGGAGCTGGTTTACAGCTTGCTTTTTCCTGCTCCATCTGGGACTGATCTGTGTCTTTGCACTGTATATAGGAAATGTTCTCTACAATTCTCTAAATGTAAGACACTGTTTCAGGCATTGGGGTGCAGGAGTTTTTGACTGCACTTGACTCACACACAGACAATTGTTTGCGTGTATGTTTTTACAAGTAAGTTTTCTTTACCCTGTATTTTAAAAATATGTGTACTTATTTATGCCTAGATTGTCTCAGCTCCTGCCAATGATGAGATAGTTATGAACACATTTACCCCCCTGTTATCCAAGGCTAAGTACACACTATATTATTTTTATTTTTGTGGTTTAATACTGAATGCAGTGCAGTGACAGAAATTATTTTGCTGGGAGCAGGAGTTATTCTAATAAATGTGTAGTGACTGGGAGACAGACACAAGGCTATGTGGTCATTTTTGTTTCAAGCTCCCTGTGATTGATAACTAGGCTATCAAATAGATGGTGGTTTTGGAAGAACGATCAAGGCAGTTGATGGTATCAAGCATTTGCAAGAGGGTTTTTCATCTAGCTGGCTGGCAGCTGGTCTTTTGGGGTTTTGAATAGACTTGCCAGTTGTTATCTGAGCTACATGTAACACAAAATTATTTTTGATGTACTGCTGTGATTTGCCTTAGGTAGGTCAATGTTTTGGCTTACTTTTTAATTTCAAAAGTGTCATCTTCCTTTAAGATAGGACTTTAGGGTGGCACTAAAGGCAGAGTTACAGCGCTTTCCTTGGTAATTGTTAACAGCAAAATAGACTTTTATTACCTTTATCATTCTGAGACAGAGCTGAGAGTTGGCAATTAGATGCATATTGTAAATATCTTTTCTAGGGCATTCAGGCTAATAGCCAAAAGTAAACCAGTCTCTAGATATGGTATGTGAGAGCATTCATTAGCATCATTCAGGGTTAGACAACAATTTAGTTTTGTTGTTGGGGTTCTTTTAATTATTTATTTTTTTAAAAGCTATTTGAGGAGCCAGAAGAAAACTGCAAGTAGGCTTCTTGCTGACAAGATGCAGGTGTATACCACATGCCCATATTGGAAAAAAGATGCGGTTATGAAGGACCTGATGACAGACAAGGGTCTAAAATGCCTTCATCTCCAGGTTTTAGCTAGTCCATCTGTTTTTTATTTACATTTCCCCCAGCTAGCAGTGTTAGTATTTTCCAAACTCAGTATAACCATGCACAGGTCTGTATAAAATTGCTTTTCTGCATTGGAAGATCCTTAGTTTAGTAAGTTCTCCTCCAAGATAGGGAAGCCTTACTTTTAAGGTAACTGTATTATAAACTGTAGGTCTGTGTTCATGATTTCTTTCTGGAAAAATGAGGGAAAGGAGTGATGAGATTGAGGGGAGAGCACTTTTGTTCTGCCTTGTTAAAATCGGTAGAGTCCATTTATACCTTAAGAGTATCAAATGGGTGAGTGCTGCTCCTAGCTAAAAGATCTGGCCTCCTTTGATGCTCATCCTCCCAACAATGAACTCAAGAGGGAATGTTTATTCTTAAGGGAGAAAAACTTACACACACATCAGGTTGCTCCATACAGCTGCACCCTGAACTTCTTCTTCAAAGATGTATATTCAGAGGGCAGAAGTAGTGGGCAGCAGCACTTGGGAAAAGTACCCAGCCAGCAGCTTTGGTACGGTAAAGTAAATTTTGACAAAGAAAACTGATGAAATCACATGGGAAATGGCATGATTCCGCCTCTCACTAATGGACTAGAGAAACTTGCTTGTAGTTTTTTCATCAGACCACTTGTTTCTTTGAATCTCAAAAGAACAGCAGAAAGATAGAGAAACAAGAAGTTCTCCATCTAAAAGAACAATTTTCGGAGCAAATTCTCAATGGCCTCCAACTTTGTCTTTTCTGAGAACAATATAATTAAGCCTTGATTTAAAACATTATTAGAAACCTAATCAGCCTACATTGAAAATTGCTCCATTGAGCATTTTGTTTGTGGTTAATAATTAATTGCAAGAGTCACTTTGAAAACAGTAAAAGCAATACTTTTCTTTATTTAAAATGACAGAGGAAATTAGATGAGGAAGTGTAAACATGATTTTTCAGAAAGTGCCCAAATTTATTCTCATTTTTTTATCTAAACAAATTCCTCAAGTATAATTTTGAGGAATGAAAAAAATCTATGATTAATTTAATAGGCAGTAAAATTAGATGCAGACAGAGAGCATAGTTATAGCTGTGTGGGAGTCAGTGGAAACTATCCTGGAATGTGGCAGTGTGTTGTTTTGTCTCCATAAAGCATCATGTCTTTTCCTTTTGTAGGAATAAACTTTTCTTTCTTTATGGGACACACCCTTTTTTTAAGAGTCAGTTTTCATGTAAGGTAATGCTGGTTTTGATGAATGTAAGAGAATTGTATGTGTGCCTTTGCTTATAGGGAATTACATGTGCAAGACAGTTTATAATATATTTCATGCTACATACCATAGGGTGTTGTTTAGCAGGTGACAAGTTTGAGTATACTAAGCCCATAGATGACGTAAAGGTTATCTAAGTGAAATGGTGACCAGTAATGTTTGTTCACTTCCAAGGATTCCAACTGGTGTAGGTCAGTGGGGACTGGTGTAATTACAAAGGACCTTGTACCAATGTGGTGTAGATGCTAACAATGAGAACAGAAAACCTGTTATCCATCAGTGTGCTTGACAACTATCAGAGGAAAATACCTTCTCAGAGTTTAAATTGTTACATACTGGAGGGGTATATCAGGGTTTTTACTCACTGAGAGGAGTTTTCTGACTCTGCTTATAATTCACTTTGGAGTTCTAAGCTCTTGCCTAGGAAACAGAGGCCTGAACCCACAAAAATATGATGCCAACATATATTTGAGGCAAAAAAAGATGAAACCATGAGGGAACTGGTTCTATTCCCCTTATTCTTTAACCAGATACGTCTTCACTAGCAGCATGAGCTTAAAAATTGCTATATGGCTGCAGTGAAGCATCGCTACCTGCATCTCCTGGCTCCAGTGAATGGTATCCCAACCTTTGGTTTCTTTGTTTGGGTTTTGGTGTTGTTTTCTGGTTGTTTTGTTTTTAAACAGGCTGCATATATGCCTTGTACAAAGGAGCGCTTCATTGTAAACCTTTATTTTACCCACCAGGCCTATCCTTGTACCAATGATAAGGAATGCGAAGTTGGGCGATACTGCCACAGTCCTCATCAAGCAACTTCTGCATGCATGATGTGCCGGAGGAAGAAGAAGCGTTGCCACAGAGATGGCATGTGCTGCCCTGGGAACCGCTGCAACAATGGTACAACAGGCATTTCTTTGTTTTCCTCCATAAAATCAGCATTTTGATAGCATCTATTTCTCTGAGTGTTCTCAGCAACAGTATTTTTTTCCTGGGTGACTGAGCTTCTTTTTTCTAAACCTAGAAAACTTCATTTTCTATTTCATTATATTCCATTTAGTTTACAAATATTTATATATTTAAGGCTTGTGTACTACCAGACCTTTTCCTATTTTGGGATGGGGAAACTCAAAAATGCTGCTCCTGACTGAAATCACAGCACTACATTCAATATGGTTTGATTCACTAGAAGGCTGTGCAGAACCCATATTTTTAAGGAATCAAAAGAGACTTAATCAGTCATCAATCTCTTCTCCCTGGGAATGGTTACAACCATACTGTTTACATTCCCATCACTTCCCTGGAGACTGGAGAGAGAATAATTCTCCCGGTGTTCAGACCATAAAGCCAGAGGGATAACGAGACTGTCTGACAGTGAGTGAAGCAGAGCTGTGGTGAAGTTAGGTTCTGGGGGTCAGCGACATAGGTATTGTTATATCCAGGTTGTCACTAAGGCCAAGCCCCAGCTCTTTAATGGTTCTGGTCCTGATCATAGTCTATGTATGTGTGTCTGTTGCTTTTTCTCTTGTTCAAATCCTTGACTGACTGTTTTCATTGCAGGTATTTGCATACCAGTAACCGAAAGCATCCTTACCCCTCACATCCCTGCTCTAGAAGGGCCACGCAATAAGAAGAATGGTCATTATGCTAGCAAGGATTTGGGATGGCAAAACCTAGGAAGGCCACGCTCCAAGCTGTCACACATAAAAGGTAAGATCACATTTGCTCTAAACTGTGTTTAGTTTGTTCCTTTGTGTTATGAATCATGTTGCTGTTAAGATACAAAAACGAAAACCAGAAATAGGTCATAATTTCACAGGGAGAGGATGTCTATCATGAGAATTAACAGTATGACTCAAAAAGTGATGTAAGATCAACCAACAGTTCCTGTGTTTGAAATAGCATCTGCTTTCTTTTTCATTGACACGAAGTCAGAGGTAGCCAAAAAATGATTTTTTCAGTTGTGCAAAATTGCACACATCCTCCTTTTTTAGCAGTCATGTAATTAAGCACTTGTAATTCTGTTTACG